TAAATTATTTATAGTATATTTATACGCAACGTATAATATATATGTGTGTATATATATATATATATATATATATATATATATATATATATATATATATCATATGTTATATATAGTATATAAAAAATTGGTATCAGGATAACATCAAGGAAATCACAGAGCTGAGCACTGCTGTTGTAAAACGTGCACAGAATAAAGTGGATTATAATGATGATACTGTATTTGTGTGTGTATGGATATGTACGTGTATATATATGTATATATGTGTGTGTTAAATATAAATATATATATATATATGTGTGTATATATATATATAAGAACTTGTACGTATCATTTTAAGAGATTAGTTATAGAATATTATAAATTAATAAGAGATGATTTAAGAGTGACAAATCTGTCAAGGTAGACACACACACACGCACACGCACACGCACACGCACACACACAGTTAATTCACTAAACCAGCTGAAGATGTCTATATATATGAACCTGTTTCTCTCTGTCAACACCTGATTACGGTGCTAACTACCATTCCTCGCCATTCCACACCACTTCGTTGATTTTTCATATTATTTTGTGCAAAGGGTAACAATACTTATTTTTCTGACTGTAAATAGGAGGCTTTTTCCCCCTGTTTCGTATCGCCTATTTTACCGGCATACGGAAAACCTGCGTCATTATCATAATAGGAAAGGAAAGGGAGAAAAAAAAAAAACATTAATTAGCTCACTGTTGCTTCATGGTATCAGAGTGAAGCAATTAACTGAAATAATGAATTTACAAGCCAGTTCCCTATAGTAATGATAGTGGAGAAACAATAGATTTTAAGGCCGTGTCCAGATTTGAGCGCAGAACTCTAAGTGAGGGTTTCCGTAGTGTAGTGGTTATCACGTGCGCTTCACACGCGCAAGGTCCCCGGTTCGATCCCGGGCGGAAACAGTTTTGAGGGAGATGATAGGTTATATTTTTGGAAAAACAAAACAGAAATGTACGAAAATGTAAATGCGAATATACAAATTTCCATAAAACTTTTAAAAGGCTTTGCTTACACAACCATATGTACGCAAAAGATTTTTCTTTACAGGATGGTTGCTCGAGAGAGCAAACAAGACGTATTAGATAACGCATTTTTAAATCCGTCGTAAAGAGAAAGGGAAAACAAATCACATTATGTGAACGATGAAATCCCACTGCTTTGAAAATATTTATTCCTTTTTAAAATATCTGTTTCCGCCCGGGATCGAACCGGGGACCTTGCGCGTGTGAAGCGCACGTGATAACCACTACACTACGGAAACCTGTGCTATACATAAGTGCACTGATTTTGGAATGGCCGGTAGATATTTATTTTTCTATTACTATTACCGTTTTTTATGGAAGAATTTCGATTGGAATATGGGTAAATACTACGTATATTATGCAGATATCTTTTCAAACTGTAACAACTGATACAAAGCAAATGTGAACAAACACATACACACACACACACATTGTAATTCTTGTGTCAATGGACTTTAAAGTAACACACCTTTTTACATACAACTGAGACATACGTATTTAAAAAAATAAAATTAAAAAACAAATGACGGACCACATATCAACTGACAAAGTAATATGCCCTTTCGTTCACTCAAACAATAACAATTATCAAGAGGCACGAGATTGGCAGATCAAAAACTAAATCGACAGTCTACATAATCTGACATTTTGAAAGACAGAAAATAGACTAATAAATAACAGAATTACTGCAATGATAGCTTAAAACGCTTTTTATGCCGAATATGGCATTTTAAAGATGGTGATACATGCACACGGTATTTCGGTTCTACTATCTGAAAGACAAATAATAGATATTCTCCCGTGGTATACCTGCTGACATCATCTTACATACAGTAGCGCCCGTTCGATGTGCTTATATATCCCCCAGGAACTACCTATTGCAGCAGTATAGTAAGCCACTATGCCTCCTAGACAACGCCAGAGGGTCCCGGACAGAGGACGTGAGTCATCGGTTTGAAGCAGGATAAGATTTTCTGGACATTTTATCCTGACTTAAGGGAATTTCTTGGAGACGAGAGAGGCCTGTTCTCGAGAACAGGACGGAGAGCTTGCCAACCAAAGTGCATAACATCCCTATGAACAGTTATTGGGACGACGTCAAAGTAGCCTGGGTAGGATTTGCTCAGCCTACACATGAAGAAGGAATCCATCAACATCGATTGCATGCTGACGAAACTGGCTCTGAGCTGTACACAAATAGGACCGAAGGGGGACAACGCGTCGACAGGAGGGGTCCAGGACAGCGAATGAAAATAACGTGACTCTTAAAGCAGCTGACTGCAATCTGGCAAGTTTGTTTTACTTCCAGATTCATACCAGAGGGGTATACACTGTATTCATGGCCTTCCTAGATGCTGTGCTGTGATTTCCATGGACTGTCAGGGTATATTTGTACTTTGCCAGTCATAATGAGTGAGCCATATGTCAAACTATTTTGTTACATTATCAGACACCTTGTTACGGTGACAATCAGATATGAAGAAATGTCAAAGGACAGAACTAATTGTCCAAAAATATATGTGGACTGTCAGAGATTTTCAGCAAAGTGTCTGAACTGCTGTGTGAAAAGGTGTATCACTAATGTAAGCGAACTTTCTTTTCAATTTGGCTAACGGTGTATCATCCTTTGTAACTGTGGTGTGGATCCATTTGTTCACTGCCCTATTATTTAGGAATGAAAAGGAAAATCATTCAACACTGTTAACGAAAAGAACTTGTAAATTCATTCAAATCAAATACTTACAGATCCACTATAGGTCTTTAGCCGGTGGCCACTTTTTTGGGTGAAGGAGTCGAACTGGGAGATACAGGGTTGTCACCGCACTGATATTGAGAGATAATTCCCCCACTTACAGTTTTTACGACTCAGCATGCCACTTATAAGTAAATAAGTTCTTAGAGGAAACCCTGAGGTTCATTCAGTGACGGTCCCTGCCGAACTGCATCAGGTAGACATGAGAATACCCAGGTCATCAAGACAGAGGACTGCTTGTTTAGTTATATTGATGTTAGGGTAATGTTTACAAAAGGCGACTTGGTATTTTGGCTCTTATCTCGAGTTAGAGTAACCACCAAAACCGTCTACAGGTACTTAACCTCTAACATAAGCTACAGCAGATTCTCTTTGACGAAATTTTCTTTCCTAGTTTTTTTTTTTATCAGTTTACTGACGTCATCGTAAGTTAAGGGTTGCATTTTCAACGCTAATAAATGATATATAGCATACATAAGGTGCCGTATTTTCAGACCGATAACAACCAGAAAGCAATTATCAAACATTTTTTTTTTTAAACCTAAACACCTAAGGACCAGGGAAAGTAAGCCTTTTGCAAGTTTCTCTCCAATGAACCGATGAAGTGCATGCATGTGTATTTATATGTGTGTACGTGCACGTGCAGGGGCCTCATGAACTACCAACCACTGAAAAGCAATAAGGAAAACTGCGACTAAAATGGAAGAGTAATGAGGGAAGAGTCTCACTAGGTGATGGGGGAAAAATCGCACGGCAGCAATCCAGAGTAAAAGCTAAAAAAAAATATATATATATATCCCACTAGATTTCACAAGAAAATTCTCTATGACCTTAGCGAATTTCAGAATTTTCCCCGCCGGATTGACAATCAAAATCTCCAAAATAACAACAGTCCTATTCTTTCTTACGTACTCTTATGTGTGTTTGCAGCATTGTACTATTATAAAAAGATTCAGACTGTGCCGTGTCGATATCACAGAATGACAGCTGAGAGGGAGAGGTTTGTTGTCTATGTAAAGTAGCATAGTTGCATGATATGACAAAGCTGATCAGTGTTGCCATTCTAGCGATTTTCCCGCAAGAGTTTCTGAGAAATGATTTAGCGAGGAGATTTTGAAAGTATTCTATACTTGTATCGAAAAAAAAATCAGGCAGCTTTTATGTCTTTCAGTTTTTTAAAGACCGAACAAGCAATTTCGGTGGAAATATTAGTGGTAATGTAGTAGCTGATATTTTTCTACAATGTAACAGCAAATTCATTTAAGGTCTGAAATTATTAAACGTACGCCCCCGGGTGGGCTCGAACCACCAACCTTTCGGTTAACAGCCGAACGCGCTAACCGATTGTGCCACGGAGGCTTGAAATATCTGGAAAGATTTCATGATTTCAACAGAAATATTTAAGAAATTATAAATCTGACATGTATACGTATCATAAGTCTTAGTCCCCTAAACAAAAAGCTTCGGAAACCAGAATTTCATTTTTTCCCTTAAATTCTGTGAATAGATGAATCAACCAATGTTACACAAAATGTAGATAGTTGTACATTAACTGATGATACATATATATATATATATATATATATATATATATATATATATATATATATATATACATACATATATGTGTGTGTGTATGTATGCATGCATGTATACACACACACACACACACACAC